TAGATATTGTTGGTACTTTAACTTTGAAAGAAAACCATCTTATTACCCCTTTTTCAAGTTTTATTGAAAAACTGTCTGGACATTGAATTGAAAACTATTTGGACATTGCAACACAAACTTTAAAAAGAATTTTATCATCTACCATTCTTACATGAATAAAACAGTATACTTACCAAGTAGCCAAAGTAAAATGCAGACATTATTTGGAGGCTGAAGCCGATTAAGATGTATTATTTATAACTTCACTTTTAAATATTTATTAGTGCAGTCTTACTGTTCTCAATAGCTAACTTTATAATCAATATTATACATATTTATATACATAGACTCAATGTATATTAAGTATATATTTAAACATATACATATAAATAAATCAACCCATGACTTTATATGTTTATAAAAACTAAAATAAATATTATAAATTTGAACCTCTGAAATTTATACTAGTCAAATTATCTAGGTTTGTATGAGATTTAATTGGGAAAAAAGTCTCTTACTAAATAAAATTAGAAGCCCGTTAAGCAAGTTAAAATGTATATTTGGGAAAATCGGCTTGCCTAAGTTGCACAAATTGTATCCACACTTGGTTTTTATCCAGCACAAGTCTTGCTGCTTTCCAAAATTTATTTTGTTAAAGATTGCTTATAGGCTGAGGCTGAAGGCGTGCCATTATCCTTTAACAATATATAATTACCACATACTATCCTTTGGTAATCTGACACTGATTCCAGAACTGAACTACCTTGGATTCATAGGTAAGGAAGAGTTTGAATTCTTGTGCCTCAGATTTTCCTTTGCTGCTTTTATTTGGATGTGTGAGATTCAGAAATATGAGAGTGAAACAAAATAAAAGATGCTTTATAAATACCTGTTAATTCCATATTTCTTAGTTGTATTTTATTTGAGGTGTTAGAGTTGTACTTTTTTGTTTTCCAATTTTTATAGACTGAGCTTGATTTTCATATCCAATTGAATTCTCATTGATTTTGTGGCTAATCAAACTCCCAAGATGTCATTTACTAGAAGTTAAGTATTAATATTTATGATTTGAATATATTTAACAACTTTATAGTTAATAACTTTAAATTCTCTTGTGGCGAAAGTATTCAGTTTGGCCAATGTCTTCTCAGTCAGTCCTGTAATTTAATACTGTATTATAGCTAAATCTATTATTGTTTCTAACACATTATAAAGATAGGAACTTATATAACTAAGTTTGTATTTATTTATATAGTAAGTAAATGCTAAAAATGTAGTTTGTGATAATTTTGGAGATTGGGCTGCAGTGACATTTATTAGTGAAGTAAAAAATCAATCCATAAGAAAAGATGAAGTGATACTTTATTTAGTCCATAAATTTTTAATGGACAGGGGTCTCCACTTTCTAAGTGAGCATTTTTCATTTTTCTAAGTATTCTTAAGAAAATCAGTTTTGGACTTTTGGCTAAACATAGAGGTTAGAATAAATATGTTTATTTCTTCTTCCTAAAGTCACTAAATTGACAGAATAAACAATAAAGGAATAAACAAAGAGAATGGAAGAGGCAATATAACATCAGGCAGAGAAGTAAAATTTTAGAAATGTTAGAAGAGAAATGTATAAAATATGACTAACTTAGCAGAGCAGTTTGATGGAACATAATATTTGATCATTATATTGAGTTATAATTTATTCAGTCCCTAATATTGAGTTATATATTTAATTTTTTAGCATATGATAATGGTTTATCATAATTAACCATTCATCAATTAATGACCATTTACGTTTTTGGGCTCGTAACTGTTAGAATTAGCATTCCATGCATCAGTCTTAAAAGAAAATACTTTAGGTTTTTTTAGAATTGAATGGCTGAATCAGTTTATACCTTTTATGAGTATTGATCCATGCTGCCGGATTGCTTCGCAAAGCCATTTTCATTATTACCATCAATGTGTGGAATTTTCTGTTTTGCTATATCCTAGCCAGCATTGTGTTTGCCTTATGATGTTCAATCTGGGGAGGGACACATAGCCCTTGCATCAATTTCTTGACTGTGGTGCTGTTGGAAAGTATGGCATGACGTGACATGACAGATTTTACCAGGTGAAGCTTAGCTGTGTGTCTTTACCACTGCCACCTTATAATAAAGACAGATGCTGTGAGTTTAGAGGAAGAGGTGATTTCCTTTATTTACCTGGGGTGCTCAAGGAAGGCTTCATGTAAGAAGTAGAATTTGAGCTATGTATAATGTGGGAAAATTTATAAAGAAAACTTTGCAGACAAATGAGAGATTTATAAGTCTGGATCAAACCAAGAGACAGAAGCCATATAGTAACTAAAATTGTTAGCTTAACCTAAAGAATTATTGGGGTTTGATAGGAGAAAAACCATGAAGTCACTCTATAAAGAGAACTCTAAAAGGTACCCTAGGGCTAAAGAAAAGTACCCAACGAAGGACAGAATTGAAATGAGGGTTCAGACCTCATTGAAAGTGTGGTTATGGCCCATTGGATGGGAGAGAAATTTGTTGGGTTGCCTGAGTCAAAGCTGGTGCACAATCACAATGTCAGCAGGTAAGCCAAGTCTGGTAGGAGGGCATGCAGAGGGAATCAGGGCAGTGTTGCAGGGCTGAGGCATGGAGCACAGGTTTCTGTTAAGAGGGCCACAGTAACAGCCCTTGGGGAGCAAGTGAGTTGATGTTGGTTAGTGAGTAGAGGGAGTTGCAGCACTACTTTAGGTAATACTGGAGTTGCAAGTTGTAGAGGCCTCCCTGTGTAGCAGTCTAGAGCACTGTTGTGTACAGCTTGGGGCAGGGCAATATATCAAGCTGCTGTGTGGAACATAGGTCAGGGGACTGGCTGGCTAAGCCAGTGCATGTGGCTAAGGAGAGGGGATAGGGAGTAGCCACCTGGTCTGGGGCTCCTGGCTATAGTGCTGCTGCTACCTGAGTAGAGGGCTGAAGAAAAAGCACACAGCAGCTAGCTAGATGCTGGAGAATGCTTTCCCCTGTAGATACCTAGTATTAGTGTTGTTTTACAGCCTTGGCATTATTGACCTTCAGGACTGGATAATTATTTGTTGTGGGAAGCTGTCCTGTGTATGGTAGGATATTTAACAGCATCCTTGGTCTCTATTCACTGTATCCCAGTAGTTCCCCAAGTTGTGACAGTGGAAAATAGCTCCAGATATTGCCACATGTCCTCTAAGGGCAAATTGTCTCTAGTTGTGAACCACTGCAATAGAGAAATCTTACAGCAGTGAAACAGTGGAGAAGTTAAAATATAAGCTCTCCAGAAACCTGCTGAGAAAAGTGTTTCCTTCTGCAGAGCCTCTCTGGTGCACTCTATTGACAGAGCTTAGCATCATGTCAACTAGCAAAGGAAAAATATTTTCAAGGCCCAGATCCACTTTTCCAGATAAGACAATGAAGGATGAATTTGGAGTGGAAAGGCAACAAACTGATAACTGCACAAAAAAGTGCAGTTATAGAATTAAGTGTGGTTGCAGAATTAAATATGAGCAAAGTTACAGAAGCAGAAAAGCATAGGGACACTAGGGAAATTCAAGGACAAGAAGACTAAAGTACAAGGTTGGTCACTTTGGGAGGCCAAGGCAGGTGGATCACAAGATCAGGAGTTCAAAGCCAGCCTGGCCAAGATGATGAAACCCCATCTCTACTAAAAAATACCAAAAAAATAGCCAAGCATAGTGGCAGGCGCCTGTAACCCCACCTACTCAGGAGGCTGAGGCAGGAGAATCCCTTGAACATGGGAGGCAGAGGTTGCAGTGAGCCAAGATAGCACCACTACACTCAAGCATGGATGACAAAGCAAGACTCTGTCTCAAAAAACAAAAAGTACAAGGCTGGTGTAAAGTGTAAGGGAAGAAAAAGCTAGAAGGGCCCTTTGAATCTTAACTCTGGAGTGCTTTGAGTGAGAGGAAGAGAGGGGAAGAGAAAAATAGACCAATGAAGGTTTGAGATTTGGTGCTGTCAATAGATGATTGTCATCTGTTGACAGAGGCAGAGGTGGAGGAGTGATAGAAGTAATTGGGGCCTACATTTTTACACATAACTGATATTCAGGAAATGGTTCATGATAGTACATCCTGGGTTTTTTTCTACCTATCCATTTCATAATTTAATGTAGTGCTTTATTACATAAAATATGCTTATTGGGGCTGGGCTTGGTGGCCCATGCCTGTAATCCCAGCATTTTGGGAGGCCGAGGCAGGTAGGTCACCTGAGGTCAGGAGTTCAAGACCAGCCTGGCCAACATGGTGAAACCCCCATCTCTACTAAAAATACAAAAATTAGCCCGAGTGTGGTGATGCATGTCTATAGTCCCAGCTACTTGGGAGGCCGAGGCAGGAGAATTGCTTGAACCCGGGAGATGGAGTTTGCAGTGAGCTGAGATCATGCCACTAAACTCTAGCCTAGGCGACAGTGAGACTCCATCTCAAAAAAAAAAAAAAAAAAAAAAAAAAAAAAAATATATATATATATATATATATATATATATATATATAGAGAGAGAGAGAGAGAGAGAGAGAGAGAGAGAGAGAATGAATTTGGGACAAAAGTAATAGGAGGAAATAAGAGACCATAAGGAGTTCATTGTCCCCCTTATTCTGTGGAGAGAATGCAAGGGCAAGCCAGAACCTCTGCACTTTCTACCAGGTGAAGGTAGGGGGACTTGTCTCATGGTAATGCACTGAACTAAAAGAGAATTCCAGCAGAGGGAAAGTGGAAGTTATGGTTTTGATTCAAACCCCTCTAATAGTCTTTTATGTTGCCAAGGATATGTCTCCTCCTTTCTAAGTACTCTTGTGGTTTTTTAAAATTTGTCTTGCAATCTTAGAATCCAACATCACTGAATAGTCTTATAGTTTCCCAGATGTCTTTGTGGCATTTCCTTCTAGGTATATTGAAATTTGCCCTTTTTTTATTCTCGAATTTTGTCCTTGGCTCAAGGTTTCACATTTTACTTACTCTTTATACTACTTTTCTCTTTTTATTTAGAAATGGACTCCGAACTCAAGGAAGAAATTCCTGTGCATGAGGAATTCATTTTGTGTGGTGGAGCTGAAACCCAGGTTCTAAAATGTGGGCCCTGGACTGACCTCTTTTATGATCAAAGTGTCAAAAGGCCTAAGCTGCTTATTTTCATTATTCCTGGTGAGTATAAAAGTCTGGATGAGAAGACTTTAGGTAGATACTTGTAACTGTGTCTGACTTTTAAAGTATAATTATAGAGAATTTGGCATATATAGAAAACCCTGTAGAAGGAATTAAAATCACTTGACCCATTGTTAACAACCACTGTTAATGTTTTGATGGCTGGACTTTCTGTTTTTCTTCTGCATATTTGTATTATGTTGTCTATTATATGCATGTGTGTATGTCACAGTTTGAAGTGTATACCACATATGCAGTTTTGTAATGTGCTTTCTAAAACATTTTTTTTGAGATGGAGTTTCGCTCTTGTTACCCAGGCTGGAGTGCAATGGCGCGATCTCGGCTCACCGCAACCTCCGCCTCCTGGGTTCAAGCAATTCTCCTGCCTCAGCCTCCTGAGTAGCTGGGATTACAGGCACAGGCCACCATGCCCAGCTAATTTTTTGTATTTTTAGTAGAGACGGGGTTTCACCGTGTTGACCAGGATGGTCTCGATCTCTTGACCTCGTGATCCACCCGCCTCGGCCTCCCAAAGTGCTGGGATTACAGGCTTGAGCCGCCGCACCCGGCCTAAAAAATTTATTAATATTTAAAACGTCATTAATATTTTTGCCAGTTTTCTAAATGTTTTCTGCCTTATTTCAAGATGATGATGTGTTTATTATAGAACATTTATTCTGAATCACTGGTAACTTTTGCTGGATCACTGTCAGTAGAATGTTAGGGACAGATGCTTGAGTAATTGCAGGTATTTGAAATGCATTTTAAATTGTGAGTTTCAATATACATGTTTAATACATTGAAAGTTCTTATTCTGTGAACTGCTCATTTGAAGCCCTCACCTATTTTTCAGTTGTGTGTTCAATGTTTTCCTTACTGATTTTCAGTTGATTCTTACACAACTGTAAAATTGTGTTGTATTTGTCATATGTGACAAGAATCTTTCTTGGTTTGTCTTTTGACATCAATACAATGTTTATTTGATTGTACAGAAAGTGTCATTGTTAAGTGTCCAAAATGATATGTCTCTTCCTTTAAGACTTCAGGGTTTTATGAGTTTCGTAGAGCGGGCTTTCCTACTCCAAGATTATAAAACAGTTCTTCCATGTCTTCTAGCGTTTTTACAGTTTCATTTGTAATCTTTAAATTGATGCATCTAGATTTTAAGGGCAGGGACTAAGGAAGGGATCTAGTTTTCTTCTTCCTCTCCTTTGATGGCTTATTACTTGGCCCACAACCATTTATTGTATAATCTGCCTTTTCCCTACTGGTTTGCAATGCTAACTTTTTCTTAAAGTAGATTATCCTATGGCTGGGAGTCTCTTTCTGTGATTTTTGCCTCTTCATGTGTTCTTCATGTTTTGTAACAGCTGTAGTTTCATGATACTTTTACATATTTTTTGGAACTTGTTCATTTTTATTCTTTTCCAAAATGTTCTTTGGCCTCTTTTCTTTTAGCTGCAGAATATATTTCTTGGCTTCATTAGGAAGGGGAAAAAAAGCTTAAATGAACTTTAAAATCAACTTTCCTAAAATTGATCTCATAAAGACAGAGAGTAGAATGATAGATACCGGAGGCCAGGAAGGGTGTGGGGCTGGGAGAAGGGATGAAGAGGTAGGTTAACAAGTTCAAAAATACAGTTAGATGAAAGATGTAAGTTCTATTGTTGGAACTTATTTATGCCAACAGAGAGTTGGATAGTCAGCAGAGTAGACTGACTATAGTTAACAATAATGTATTGTATTGGTACAAAGTAGCTAGAAGAGAGGACTTGGATTTTTCTCAACACATAGAAATGATAAATATTCAAAATGAATGTATTAAAACACCCTAAGACGATCATTACACATTCTGTACATGTAAGAAAATACCAGATGTAGCCCATGAATATATAACATCAATATTAATACCTTTAAAAAATAAATAGTAACCAAAAAATCAGCTTTCTAGTTCCAACAAATGTTCTCAGAGGCAAACACATTTAACACTGGTATATTATTTGCCCCACATTCCCTTTTTTTTTTTTTTTTTTTTTTTTTTTGGAGACAGAGTCCTGCTGTCTTGCCCAGGCTGGAGTGTAGTGGTGCAATCTGAGCTCACTGCAACCTCCACCTCCTGGGTTCAAGCAATTCTCCTGTCTCAGTCTTTCACGTAGTTGGGACTACAGGCACCTGCCGCCATGCCTGGCTAATTTTTATAGTTTTAGTAGAGACGGGGCATCACCTTGTTGGGTAGGCTGGTCTTGAACTCCTGGTCCCAAGTGATCTGCCTGCCCCAGCCTCCCAAAGTGCTGGGATTACAGGCGTGAGCCACTGGCTTTTACTTCACATTTCTAAATGAAAACTTTATATTTCTTTTTTTTGAGTTTTTGTTTTGTTTTGTTTTTTGTTTTTTGTTGTTGTTTGTTTGTTTGTTTTTGAAATTGAGTCTCCCTCTGTCACTTAGGCTGGAGTGCAGTGGTATAATCTCGGCTCACTGTAACCTCCTCCTCCCAGGTTCAAGTGATTCTCCTGTCTCAGCCTCCCTAGTAGCTGGGATTACAGGTACACATCACCATGCCCAGCTAATTTTTGTATTTTTAGTAGAGATGGGGTTTCACCAGGTTGGCCAGACTGGTCTTGAACTCCTGACCCCTCAAGTGATCCACCAGCCTCTCAAAGTGCTGGGATTATAGGTATGAGCCACCCTGTCCAGCCCTGAGGGTTTTTTGTTTGTTTTTTGTTTGTTTGTTTGTTTGTTTGTTTGAGACTGAATTGCAATCTTGTCGCCCAGACTGGAGTGCAGTGGTGCAATCTCGGCTCACTGCAACCTCCACCTCCAGGGTTCCAGTGATTCTCTTGAGTTTTTAATATTAGATGTTATCTGCTATCTTCCTCCTGAAAGAAAAAGATTTGCTTTCTTATACTTTCCCTTCTCCATACAGAATCATATACCCCTCCTTCTCTACCTGTCTTCAGAGTATGGGAATATTGCGGTTTTTGGTTAGATCAATATGCAATGCTTTTATTATTTTGACTATTATATTACATATAGGTGAGCTTATAGGGAATTATACATGCGTTTCCTTTCTTATATATTTTTGTTTGGTTTCCCTGGGATAATAGTGTTCTGTTATTTTTTTGCTTAGTTTTTAGTGCTTTAATCACTCATTTATCCTAGAACTATTCTCTAGAAGTGAGAAAATCCTCTCAATGCAGTCGAGTAATCAGTCAGTTTTCAGAATGTTCTGTCCTGTGGCTTATCTGGACTGATAGGTCCCCAGGCCTGCTGCACAGTTGCCATCCTGGGGATTTCTGTCACTTTCTCCTGTCTTAGATCCCCCGTTTCTCAGATCGCACATTTTTATCTTTCTTAGTTTATTCTCTTGTTTTTGGTGGAGCACACCTTCTAGTAGCTTCCTCAGAAGAGGTGCAAGGGAAGTAACACAGCATGCTGGAAAGTGTCTTAGACTCAGGGTTGGAAATAATTTTTCTTTAGGAGGAAAATGGAGAACATTAATGGAGGGCATTAATCATTATTTTCCAACACTCAGAGCTGCTTATAAGAAGTATTGGTATCATTTCTGATTTTAACCTTTTGTATGTGAAGCTTCTCTACTCACATTTTGGAGACCTTTTCTTTGTTCTGAGATTCTGAAATTTGACAGTGAAGCATCTTGGTGTGACTGTTTTTTTATACCATGTTCCTGGGTTTTGGTGGGCCATTTTAAGCCAGAAACTCATTTCATTCTAATACCTCTTTGTTTTTCTTTCTTTCTTTCTTTCTTTTTTTTTTTTTTTGTAGTCTCATGTTTAATGGATGAAATATCATTTTCTTTTTCTTTTTCTTTTCCTTTGTATGTGTAAGAATTTTCACTGTGTTCCTTTTTCTTTTTTCACAAGTCTTTAGTTTTCCTCAGATGTCTGGCAATCCTTGACTAGCCATTCATGTTTAAGAGGGAGACAAAAAACAAATTGGAAGCTTTGGACTCAGAGCTGGGGCTTTTTCAGAGGTGTGTCTAGGGTGATAAGCCATCCTGGCCTGCCTAGGACCAAGAGGTTTTCTAGGACATAGGACTTTCAGTGCTAAAACCATGACAGTCTCAAGCAAAACAGAGGGGTTAGTCACCTTAGGTAGGCCTCATTCTAAGGTTATTGAGTAGGGACCCCGCATTTCATTGAGAGATGTCCAACTTTCAATGTCTGAAGCTCTTTCTTTTATTGTTCAGTTTTCCCAGGGAGAAATCATCCAGGCTCCTGTTTGAAGAGTAGAAACCTGTCTGTCACTGTTCAGAGAGGAACAGGGGAAAGGAGATATTAGGAGTTTCAGTGTTTGGTTATGCTTAGTCTAACTTCTTCTCAGTATAGTACTTCCAGTCTCAGCTGGACTGAGATTCCTGATTCAGAATTTCTCTTTGTTTTAACCACTTCTGGGAATAAACTTTTCTTCTGCCAGGATGCAACAGTCCTGGCATCTTAAGTTTAATGTAGGTGAGGTTATTTGGATTTGCTCACATTAATGAATTATGGGACAAAATTTTTGGCTCAGTCAGTCCAACTGGATTTTGAAATGTCCTGACATGATGTGACAAATAAAACTGTTATTTAAGAGTCAAGGCTTTCAGGGAGTGTGTGAGTGACTAAAAAGTTGATAAATGGAAACAAATGGCTTGAGTCTTAAAGGAGAAGAGGTTGTTCTAATAGTAAGGTGAAATAGTGTGACAGACAATGCACCCACTTCCCCACCTGGAGATAGTATTTATTCCCTCACTCTTTTATCCTAGGTGCTAGGAATATGTGTTGCGTAAGTCTTTGCTCTCATTGAGTTATATGTGGTGTTAGAGAAGAGTGACCAAGGCCTCTGCTGAAGAGGACTGAATGGAAGAGAGCCTGTTACAGGGGTGAGCCAGATTTCAGAGAGGAGATAAAGAAAGCATTCAATGAAGACTCTGAAGCATAAAACAGGGAAGCATAAAACATTTGTAGTTTGGTAGTCTCATTGTTTACAGTGCTTTGACATT